CATATCTAGGAAAATTTAAAGATATATGTATACGAAATAACCGCAACTTATATGAAGTAACACATCTAGATATATATATACCTAAAAACGGCAAATAGCTCTCATTATGATTATTTATATCTTTATATGAAGTAACACATCTAGAAAAATGTAAATATATATATATATATATATATACCCTAAAAGGCAAATAACTCTAATTATGATTATTTATGTCTTTACACAATAACATATCTAGAAAAATGTAGAAATATATGTATACCCAAATACGCCAACTAGCTCTAATTATGATTATATATATATATCTTTATATAAAGTAACATATATATAAAAATATCGAAATATATATGTATATATCCCATAACGGCGAATAGATCTTATTGTGATTATTTATATCTTTATATATATAGTAACATATCTAGAAAAAATGTAGAAACATATGTATACCCAAAAAAGCCAACTAGCTCTAATTATGATTATACATATATATCTTTATATGAAGTAATACATCTATAAAAACGTAGAAATATATGTATACCCAAAAACGGTAACTAGCTCTAATTATGATTTTTTATATTTTTACATAAAGTAACATGTAGAAACATATGTATACCCAAAAACAGCAACTAGCTCTGAATTTGATTATTTATATCTCTAATCTATTATTTTATTCACTATTTCCGCTGCAACAGATTAGCTTCACGGAAATCAACAATTCATCAGCGCTGTTTAGATTGTTTGTTTTTGAATTTCGCGCAAAGCTACACGAGGGCTATCTGCGCTAGCCGTCCCTAATTTAGCAGTGTAAGACTAGAGGGAAGGCAGCTAGTCATCACCACCCACCGCCAACTCTTGGGCTACTCTTTTAGCAACGAATAGTGGGAATGACCGTCACATTATGACACCCCCACGGCTGAAAGGGCGAGCATGTTTGGTTTGACGGGGAATCGATCCCACGACCCTCAGATTGCGAGTCGAGTGCCCTAACCACCTGGCCATGCCGGGCCCCGCTGTTTAGAAACAAATGAACAAAGTAGGCTTTATATAGTAGTAGAATTAAAGCAGTTTGGTTTTGACGTGTAGTCCTTTACTTACCATTGAAATTCATGTTATGGCGAAGAAAATAAATAAGAACAAACTCTAATTGTGAATATTTCTCTTTATAAAGAAACGTATCTAGTAATGGGTCTGTGTTTCAATTTTTATAGTTAAGGCCACACATTCTTAGAAACCTTATTCAGTCTCAAACACTATTTCGCAAAGAATGTTAACATAACATAATGTTTGGGGACAACAAGGGACCTATTGATTCATCTAGGCTGTCCCATCATTTGTTTATTGTTTATTTTTAATTAAGCACAAAGCTACACAATGGGCTATCTGTGCTCTGCACACCACGGGTATCGAAACCCGGATTCTAGCGTTGTAAGTCCGCAGACATACCGCTGTGCCACTGGGGGGCGCCCATCCTTTGAACTAAAGTATAACTATTAAATAAATAAAAAAAACACCTCAAAGCCGGCCTGTATCATTCATATAACTATCAAGCTTTCTCTTAAACACACTTAAATTTACTGCCTCCCAACATCTGAAAGCAACACGCTCCAAAGGCCAACTACCTTGTTTTGTGTTTTCTATTCTTGCTATAATTGATTGAAATGCAAAAAGTTTCAAAGCATTATAGCTGCAATATGTGAAATAAAAATCTATTACTAATTTAATTAGGCTAATGATCAAGCACAGTGGCAGTGCAAGCTGAAGTGGGCTAGACAAAAAGTTCAGATGGTGCCTTTTACATCTTGTGGTCGCACATACTGTAGTATTTAGGAAGTGAACCAGCTTTGACAATAAGCGCTTTTCATTGGGTGCTGGAAGAAATGCTTTAATGAAATGTTATCTTGTATTAGTGTCATTTATAAAAACAGGAAGTGATCCAAGTTGTGCAAGACTTTTATATTTAATTTGTTAATAAAAAAAATTATTTGAAATCGTAAGGTATTTTCGTTTTAGAGAGTATTTATATACATATAGTTAACCAATTTTTGGAATGACACACTGAATGTAAGATATTTTTAAAACAAACAAAGAAAAAAGAATGTATAATACAGTCCTACAACAGAATGTTTGTGAATGCAAATTTGCCGTTTTTCAAAAGAGGTTTAGCTAGAACTAACAAATCTAAAGCTGTAAAAATTACAACTATACAGCTGTATCTTCACTATGAATGTAAGTTGCCTTTTTGTAGATTATATAAACATATTATTTCCCTTATGTCTTCTGTGTCTATACAGAGAGATAATCACATTTAGAGCTTGTTACCGATTTTGTGTACGCATATTTGTATAGTTACCCAGAAGTCAAGAAAATTTAATCGGAGCCTACTTCCCCGAACGGATCACTAGAGAAGACAGTTGAGAAATCGATTGAGAGAAGGAGTCATATACTAATTCTTCCATATCAGCGTCGAAGCTTTCCTCAGATGTGTGAATGTAATAATATGGAATGGTTTTTACGATTTTAGATGTAGAAGCCCACTTGAAGAAGAAATAGATGTGGAAGGGAGCTTTAACTACATGCGGAAAATAGATTAAAGTATAGACGTGTATGGCAACTTGAATTATAAGCGTGGAAAGCAACTTGAAATAGGTGTGGAAAATAGCTCAATGCTGGTGTGGAAGGCAACTTGAAATATATTTTTTTCTTATGCTTACTCCTTCAAGCTTTTTCACAATAAGTGTTTATTAGACATTCCAATGAGATGCGCGTATTTTGTTTGTTTTTTGCATTTCATACCAGATCATGTTATTACGATGTGTAAGACCTTCGTTTGTTTATTTACACGCTACAGGAATTTAACACAGGATTTCCACCCTTCAGCTTATGAGTTCCGTAACAGCACATTTGTCAGTGCGCAGTCCAGATAGCAAGTTTTAGAAGATCACATTAATCTGATGTTCACGTCTTGAGTATAGAATATTGTTTTACTCAAACCGTTAATCCTTGTATTAAAAGATCGTCGTACTCAAATTTTAAAGTATGTTGTGTAGAAGACCATTTTACTAAGATTTATAAATTTTGTGTTTTGAAGATCATTTTGTTGAGATTTGTAAATCTGATGTTTGGAAGATTGATTTATTGAAATGTTCAAGACTTGTGTTTTGAACATCATTTTACTGAAATGTGTAAACCTAATGTTTAGAAGACTGCTTTACTCAAATGCTCACGTCTGATGTTACGGTATTTGAATTTAATCAGATCATTAATATTGGGTTTTTACCTAAGAAATATCCGGTGGACGATACGTTGTCTCTCAACAGTACTTTTACCTTTCTTCACTAAATAAAAAACAAAGCTAATTGAAGAATATTATAAGAAAGATTGACAAAATTTTGGGGACATTTTTTATATTGATGAAACATTTCAAACAATTTGAAATTGCTACTCAAATGTAATAATTTGATTTCAATGCGTGAAAAGACAAAAACCCGCTATTCTGTTAGCATTTCAAAACAGCCTATTTTCAATGAAAATTTTTAGTAAGAATACTTTTAAATTAAATCATACATTTTATCATGGTAGGTATTTTTCAAGTACCTTACATTTCGTTTTTCACCAATAAAATAAGTAAAAGCAGCAAAATAGGCTTGATTCTATAAATGAAAAAATGCACAAAGTTCCTGAAATATAGAATCATGATAAAAACAGTTCTATTCGAGAGAGTTTCAACTATATATTTGCTGCGGCTCAGTGTTGATAAATCAAAGGGAGCAGCGGCAGAGATGCAGTGACGTTAAAAGACTCCATGAAAAGACCCCTCATAAAAGAAACAAAAGGTAATCTTTTGCCCTTTGCGTCACCCCGAAGCTTTCGTCGCATACACCAGTGTTGTTTATTCTCTGGGGAGATCCTGGAGAATTCAACACAAGTTAGATGTCACTGGGAGAAAGACGTTTAAAGAAACCTTTAATATGAAAGCATCATTTGTATGCTTATTTGTGAAATAAACTAACACAAGTAAGTTGTATTCTTTGTGTTTTCAGAGAATGTGTTTGCTCACGCCTATGGAGCCACATCGTGTAAAGGCCTATAGGGCTTTTCTAACCATTAATGTTTGTTTGGGATACTGGAGCTCTTTCCAAGAGGTCTTTCAAGTGTTAATGTAAATCTATGAGCTTCATGAAGATACCACGTAAAATGAACGAAATTATATGGTTGTCGCACAGAAAAGAGATGTTATTCAGCCCTTTAAAGATTTTTTTTTTCGAATAGAAGGGTAAAATGGCAGTTTTATTTGTTTGTTGTAAACTCGTGAACATGCATTACATATTGAGGTTCTGTAAATAAAAAGAGTAGTTTTCCAAATATTTATAAAAATCATACAGTATTGGTATTATACATTGTGATTTGAAACGCCGTTGACAAGTAAATAATACAGAAATAGAGTAGCAAAGAAAAAACAATTATAGATGTATGGAATAAGGTGCTGTAGGCCTACGTTGTAAGAGAACAATTGAGGTAATTCAAGGTCGTCTTCAAAGCTATGTCTTTCTGAAAATTTCATAATATGCCCTGAACATAAATTGTCACTCGCAAAGGTGTAGACAATAACATATGAGAGATTTTAAACCAAAAATTACCAAAGCGGCTCCTCAAGATCGAATTAAATTTATAAGTATTGTAGACATTGAGTCAAAATAGGGATTTGTTGTTTGAAAAAATATTGTAGACATTATATCCAGCCCAGTTTGTTTATTTCTTTTAAGAGTCCCTAGTTGTAGGCTTTGCATTTTGATTGAACTTTTTTTTATATACTTTTTTTACCATCCCTATTTCCTTTTTAAATTAACAATTTTAAATTTAGTTTGAGTTTATACAGGTCGACGTTTTTGAGTCTTATTCGTCAGGATGGGGTAAGATTTCTAAAATGACAAGATGAGAACCTTTAAGACAAAAGATTAGTGTTGGTGGACACACACACACACACACACAAAAAGGGAAGTGAAGATTTTCAGGGAACCAACTGTTTATTTAAATAGCTAACATAAATCTGATGTTTTCATTTTTAAAGATGTGAACACACCATTTTAGAGGCTAAGAAGATAGTTACCCCTTGATTTTCATGTAATCACAACAAATAAAATATATATATTCTTAAAACGATGTTTTGTAATTAGCTAATAAGACGAAAGTAAGAAATGAAAAGTTACTCAAAATTAATGTGAACTTCGAAGTGAAGAAAGGAGAAGAGATCCTATAAATGTCAAGCTTTGAAAATATTAATTTTCTGGTTCGTCCATTGCCTCGGCTGAAAAATAAGGAGACCAGAATGAATCTGCTCGCTTTCCGAATCGCAGTCGAAGAGATGGTGATCGACCGCCTTTGCGCTCCATCTGGTGAGTAAATCGTGCAACTGGTGGTAAGGCTTCATTCCTCAATAGAAGCTCATATAGATCTCGTAAGTCTGAAAAATATATAAGTGATGTAAATCAAACTGTTTCAGCCTCGTATTTTATAAAATAATATTACATTGTATTTAAATGTATAGGCGAAGATAAAATGATATTAAAAATATACAAAAAATGTAATTGCACATAACTGAAATTATTGTTTGTTTTAGCGCAAAGCTACACAATGGAATATCTGCTCTCTGTCCGTCACTTGCCAGAATTTTAGCATTGTAAATCCATAAACTCATCGCTGACTCACCACGTAACACTTTCAATTTAATTTAATTTACTATTATAAAAGTATTGTTAACAAAAGAGATTTCGACTTAGTTTAAGAGGCAGCTTTAATCGCAGAGTAACAGATATCAGAGTCTGCAGCTCCGTATTAAACTAGAATTTTGTTCCATAACTACCGTACCAAAGTATACACTGGGTTTTAATTGTAGAACAGTCAATGTTACAGTCTAAAGCATAGTGTTAAACTGGACTTTTATTGCAGAATATCCGATTTTCCGTTTTATAGCATGATGTTAAAGTGGACTTTTCTTGCAGAACAATCGATATTACAGTTTATGGTATGTTATTAATTAAAGTTACTCTAGGAAGTGTTACAGAAGGCAAGAGTCCAGAGGTCTCTTACAAAAGTTATAAAGAATAGGCAATTTCAATGTTTGGGACACATTATGAGAAAATAGGATAGATAAAATCTTGCAATAACAGGTAAAATTGAAGGGAAGAAGAGCAGAGAGGGATAAAAGCTCAAATAGATGAATAATTAAGACACGGTAGTGTGTCATGCGGCCAAAATGATCTATAGGACACACTGTGTGTGTTATAGTTTAGCAATTTTCCACTTTCTGTAGCTCGGACTGTGGTAATACAAACTAATACATATTCTAAGCAGATGTGCTCTTCGGGACCCTAACTTCACATACCAGATTTCGAGGTAATCCATTAAGAAATACACGAGATATATAATCTCCAATTTTGATTGAATTTTTTCCCTTTTTTTTCTCTTTGCACCGAAAGTACGGAAACTATATTTGATATAAAAACATATTTAACTTTAAAGGATTTTTTTTCAGATTCTTTTTACACTGATATATCTTTACAACCTACAATTAGGTGTCAAATTTGGTTTAAATATAAGCCATATGTGCAAAGTTATTCAACAAAAACCGCTCAATTTTGACCAAACTATTTGCGCACGCCTACGTGAGTTGTCGGTCTAACATTTTTACTACAGCTTCACCTAAGAGGAAAGGTGGAGAGTTTTTAGTTTTTTGTCATTTAGAATTCAGTTGTTCCCAACCTGGGGTGCGATATCCAATTCTTGGGGGTGCGAGGATAGGGTCCAGAAAAACAACTTTTTTTGTTAATTTGTCGTTGCAGTTTTTACTAAATAATTCGTCTGAATTCGGGAGCAGAATATTGATTGCGATCTTCAATTAATTCACTATTGTTATTTTTTCTTCCTGTTTTAATTTTTTTTTATTAAACATACGCCTACTATTTACGTCTCATGATAATTTTTTTATTTTCAGAGATCCATAATGGCGAAGAAAAAGAAAGTGGAACGATGATTACTATAGTTTTGGGTTCACATGTACAACTGAGAGAAGTGGGACAGAAAGACCTCAATGCTTTTTATGTTCAGTGATATTTTCTAATGTAAATTTGAAACCTTCCAAACTCAACGAACATTTCAACAGAGTACATGGTTGTAGGGAAGCTGGGCACGATGAAGATTCACTGAAGGTGAAAAAGGCACGTTTTGATCGTCTAGGAACTCTGCCAAAGTTAGGATATGTACCAAATGAAAAGCCTGTTCTTTTAGCATCCTATCAAGTTGCGTATCAGGTGGCCAACGCGAAAAACCTTATACCATCGCTGAAGAGTTAGTGATGCCATGTATCCTTGAAGTTGTTAAGACCATTCTGGGGAAAGATGCGGAAAGGAAGGTGCAACAAGTACCAATGTCTAACAATGTCATCAGGAACAGAATAATTGATATGAGAGAGGACATCTTGAAACAGGTGATTACTGATATCAAGGCGACTCCTGTAAAAATATCATTGCAATTGGATGAATCTACATATGTTTCCCATTGTAGCCAACTGATTGCTCTTGTTCGTTATGTCAAGAATGAAGAAGTATTAGAATACATTATATTTTGTGAACATGCTATGCTAGGAAATCGGCCTGGATTTGCAGCTTTCACGAAACGGGGAATTCCTGAGGTCCGTGTCACACACTGCCTGCTTCATTCACCTCATTCATACGCATTCACCTTAAACAGCTATTAAATGTCTTTGATGGGTATTTCTCTGCAGGAAATTTGGAAATCAGCGAACGCTGGATAAGGAACCCGTTTCTGTTTCAGTTAAGCCTGAAGTTATGCCTGACGAAGATCCTTTCAAGGAGAGAATAATTGACATACAAAATGATCATGATGCAAAAATGGAGTTCAAAGTGAAGACTTTGGAAATTTTTTGGGCATTACAAATAACAAGATTCCTAAACATTTCCAAGAAAGCACGTACTGTACTTGTTCCCTTCGCAACAACATATCTTTGCGAAGTAGGGTTTTCGACTCTTCTTCATGTGAAAAGTAAGTTTCGAAATCGCCTCGATGCTCAGCACGACATGCGCATCGCTCTCAGCAAAAAGGAACCCCGTATTCCAGACAGCGAAGAATTGCGAAGAAACAAGAACAAATGTCACATTGATAGGATCTGATATGAGTTTTCGATACAATGTACATCTAATTTATGTGAAAATAAATTTTTCTGACTCAAGATAACGTGTTTTCTTTTCTGGCAAAATAAGTGTTTTTTTCTTTTCGAAAATTTGTGTTAATTAAAAATACTCATTAATTAGTATTTAATAATTTGACCTGAAAAAAATCATTTTTTGCTTTTAACTCTGGGGTGCGGGATGGCATTTCAAAATCTCAAGGGATGCCAGCATTGAAAAAGGTTGGGAACCACTGATTTAGATTGAGACGGCTGATTTAGAGCAGCAAGATTATAGAGTGAAAGCGTACAGATACATAAGTATTGGTTAGGCCAAGCAAACTAAAGTTTTCAAAGCTCAAGTTTTCAAAAGAATCATACGGGTGGACGGTTATTATTCATTATTCATAGCCAACTTTTCAGCACAAATTTGCTACATTTTGTGAAATTCTCCTGCCTAAAGAGCGTTTAGCGTCACGAGATTGTAGCTTAAGCAATTAGCGTAAATAAGGATGCTTGATACGGCTGTACCGAGTGCATGCGGGTGATGAAAAGAAATTGTAAAGCTTGTTTCCATGGCGTTATTATAAAGGTAATTATTAACACTGTTTTAGGGAGGTAAACTGCTACCATATATTTCAAAGTAATATAATTAAGACTTGAGTATAGGATCAATGGTGATCTTGTAACAAATTTATTATTAATTAAGCTTTGGGAAGAACAGCTATGTTGTTCTTATAACACTGTATATAGATTTTATTAACTAATCATTAATTAAGATTTGAGGAAGAGGTAAATGTTGTTCTTCTAACAACCTTTTTATTAATTAAATAATTTAACAGGCATAGCATAGCATAGGCTAGTGGCTATGGTGCTTGACTCACAATCTGCAAGTCGCGGGATCGAAACTCGTTGTCGAAGATGCTCGACCTTTCAGCAGTTTGAGCGTTATAAGGTGACGGTCATTCCAGTATACGTTGATAAAGATTAACGAAGAGTTGGTGGTAAATTAGGGCTTGTTAGCGCACATACCTCTCGTTTATCTTTGCCCGAAATTCAACAAAGAAACAAAGGCATTTCACTTTGGTTCTGTTGCTCATAGTAAAACAGATAAATGAGAAATTTGTAGTTTATCGTAAATGGTTGAAAAAAAAAGGATATTTGTAGTGACTGCGTATTTGATAAACAATAAACGAAATATGCGGCCAGTTTATTGCAGTAAATGGTTAAGATCATGGTCCGCACATTAAACAATAACAAGGATTCTGAGGTTAAAGTGAAGCGGCCAGTTTATTGCAGTAAACGGTTGGGATCATGTTCCACACATTAAACAATAACAAGGATTCTGAGGTTAAAGTGAAGCGGCCAGTTTATTGCAGTAAATGGTTAAGATCATGTTCCACACATTAAACAATAACAAGGATTCTGAGGTTAAAGTGAAGCGGCCAGTTTATTGCAGTAAACGGTTGGGATCATGTTCCACACATTATACAATAACAAGGATTGTGAGGTTAAAGTAAAGCGGCCAGTTTATTGCAGTAAACGGTTGGGATCATGTTCCACACATTAAACAATAACAAGGATTGTGAGGTTAAAGTAAAGCGGCCAGTTTATTGCAGTAAACGGTTGGGATCATGTTCCACACATTAAACAATAACAAGGATTGTGAGGTTAAAGTAAAGCGGCCAGTTTAGGATCATGTTCCGCACATTAAGTAGACGATAAAAATTAACTTCGAAACAAGTTAATATTTATTAGCAGTTTTATAAGCTGTGGACTTAAATAGCCACAGTTTTTACTAAATACTTTAATCCCAGAATGCTTCTACAGTATACATCATACTGACACAGGGAAAGATTTATTACTTTCTGAGATAAATAGAATATCTGTTTTTGGATCTAGTATTTTTATATAATTATTTGTTTTCTATCATTATTAGATTTGTTAAATTTCTTAAAGCTTAAAGTATGATGTTGATAATACAACTAATTATCAGCATCACAATGAATGGTTTACTGAAAATTTTAAAAACAATTCGTAATGTCTCATCTCACTTAATAACCCTAAAGTGACCATGGTTGACTTCTGGGTATACTGCATGTCACAGTGCATGTTATAGGACGTAGAGCATGTCATAGAGTATAGTGCACGTCATAGGATATGGGGCATGTTACTGGGTGTAGTGTATGTCATAAGATATACTGCACGTTATAGGGTATCGAGCATGTCATAGGGTATAAAGCGTGTCATTTGGTATAGAGGATGTCTATGAGTATAGGGTATGTCATTGGATATAGAGTACGCCGTGGAGTATAGGATATAGAGCACGTAATTTGGTATAGAGCATGTGATTGAGTATAGAGCATGACACTGAGTATATAGCGTGTCATTGGGTATAGAATACATCATTTGGTATAGGGTATATCACTGAGTATAGGGCATGTCCTAGGATAAGATGCATACTATAGTATATATCTTAAACATGTGTCCTAAAGTCATTTTAAAACCAATCAAGATAAAGTACAAACAACTTACTTTCGTAATCAGTATAGAAACTTGGTGAGGCATTCACCAGGTCGTCAACTACTACAAGGGCGCAGAAGAACGATAAACATAATACCACAAGCCTGGTCGTCAACATTTTCATAAATGGAATCCTAGAAAAATACAGGGTTGAGTACGTTATATTAAAAATATTTTAAATATACAAATCAGCAAGTTACATGACAACCACAACCGATTTAAATCGCCATGTATTAGAACTACATTTGACTTTGTTTGGAGTTACGTAGATTATGTGATACCATCGAAAATTGATCACTTTTGTGAAAGGTATGTAAAAGGCCTTTCCGACTCAAAATATTTTTACACTTAGATCATCAAGATGTGTTCAGATCGGAATTTAGAATTTCTAGGAAGGGGATATCTTTTGTACTTGGTGGCATTAGAAAACAAAGTGATATTGATCAATTTGTGAGCCCAGGATCATCCAGAAAGAGACCTAGCTACAGCAAATCATACCCCAGCTATGGTAAGCAAAGGGCGGCGTTTTGTGACAGGTTTGAATCCAAGAACCCAAAGGTCAATGACAAAAGCTGTCCAGGTGTTTTATGCAACATAACCAAGAAAGATCTCTATCTGGAAGTGAGGCCAACAAGGAATGGGCTCACAAGAATTAGGGTTTCCAGTCATACTTCCCATTCAACACGTCGTATACCTCGAGCATCTGTAAAATGAAACCAGCATTCATGCTATTCTATAAGAAAACATATAGGTCAAATCCCTGGATGTAGTCCCTATGCAATTAGACTGTTGACGAGCGCTAGGAAATCGTCGTTCTTCTCCACTAGATGGATTATGGAAAGTATCAGCGAGGAGTTGTGTGCTTTGGATGATATATCATTATGACGGAGCCTTTTGTAATGGCTACACAACATTATTATTGTCAAGATGCACGATAGTTAGGTACAGCATGACTTGACGTGGCGACATGAGCTGTACTGACATGCCGAGACTTCAAAATTGTTCTCATATAACGTACTAAACTCTCTATACTTGTAAGTATGGCACTGCGTCATGATTGTAACATCGCCTTAAGGAGAACTAGAATGAAAAACAAGTAAATCATACTTTCCTAATTCCCTCTTCTCAATGTTTGATACTAAAAAGGTTCAGAGGACAATGTTATTACTACCAGATCTCGGAAATATTAAATATTGGTGCTATTTTTAACTATTGGTAATATTTTACTCAGAGTTTGCAGGTGAAAAGAAAAATAGAAGATACAATCTACTTTGGAGCTGTACTGGTCTACATCTTCATATAAGACTTGGGAAAGAGGACAAACACATTAATCAAACGAATGAAGTGAGACCCGTAAACATGGAACAACTTTTTGTAGAGTCGTGGTCAAATCAAGACCCGCAAAGAAGAAATACGAATATTAAACAATTCTATAGCGAACGTGGAAAAGTGAGATGTGTAAACTGGGGAAAATAATATTAAATAACATTCGAAAAATTGAATTAATAGTTGGATCATATAAAAAGTGAACTTAGTGAACAAGAACATTAGCATCAATGCAAAGATAAACGTTCATGTGTAAGCTTTATTAAATTTTAGAATTGTGTTTCAAGTAAAATATTCGTGAATTTGAAAGAAGAAATAAGCTTACGGCATGCTTCTAAACTATGAAAATTAGATAAAATATTATTAAAGTAACAGAGTGAAAATGTAATATTTTTTACTTCAGTATTTTGAGATGTAGAATATGTCTTAAAGAAGTAAACAGAATTATTTCGAAATTTGATGATTGGTTATGTATGATTTAAGTATGAAGAAAGTTAAGCAATTTCAATTAACTTTATATAGTTCTTAATTCGACAGATGAAGTATTTAAACAAATATAAAACAGTTTCCTCGCTTATAAACCAAGTAAAATATTTCATTTTTGTTGAAAGTTTCAAAATGATACATTTATGGTTAAACAAAAACAACATAAACGATTATAAGAATAACATATCAAAATAAATAATGAAATCATTATTTGTAATTAGGAAAACATATTGTATATGTTGTAGTAGCAGGAAGGCTGAAAGACTGATTATAATAAAGCTGCAAAACCATATTTTGAAATAATAAACATAAAATACAAAAAGAATGAAACTGTATAAGTAATATGAATGCAGGAGGCTTCAATCTATAAAATATTGATATTTAAGAACTTTATTACGTTGTGAAAGAAAAATTAGTGCCACACAAATGCTTTACTTTTAAGTAAGTCAGGATAACGGACATAATAATTTTCCTTAGCTTTTCAAAATCATTACCCTCAGAAAGGGAGGTCAAGGTATTATGTTTTACAAAATCAATACCTCCATTTTCGTCTATTAAGTCTAGGTAATCACATCGCACGTTACACCTGCATGCATATACCCTATGTCGTGATTTTTTCTGTGGTTTCAAACTTTGTTTAGCTGTCGAACATAGGATATTTGTTTGGATTTGCCAGTTGATAATGCGTAAAAACGTTTATGAAATATTAATGATATGAGTTGTTTCATGGAGCTGAAATTATGTTTTATGAAATAGGTAAGCTAGCAAAATACGATCCATGCTATAAAAGAAAAATTTCATAATAAGACTGACGATATTTTAAACTATCCCTGTTCTATTTGGACTAGTACTGCTGTCCGATTGGACGAGTGCAGAGTACTATTTTGATTACAGCTCAACAGGTCAGTTGGGTGACAATACACAAAATCTAGTGATGGTCTTGGTTATTCTATCTAATTTAAAAGCAGGTGACAATAAACTAAATCTAACACTGGCCTCTATCTGGTATTAAAGCGGTGTTGTACATCAGACAGAAAGAATGTAAAAACCTATTTTATATTTATAATTTTTTTCTTTTTCAATTTTCTGTGGAGTCTCTAAGTTCAAATAAACCGAATGGAACTCTAACGTTTATGTAAGGTGGACCTGTTTTCTTCAAGGGTAGAGGGACATCAGTTCTTCGTTCTACCGTGTTCTTAATGTTCTAGGATTAAACTCAGCTTCTTGGACGATCCAGCTTGAAAAAACAACAACCCTCCAATGAAAGAACACACAAGATGAAAATTCAGATTTTTCTCCGGTAGTAAATATATTTATCTTAATAGAGTTTCGTAATTTTTATCAGACAGTTACGTTCCTATCCGTCTAACGTGAAAATTGCAAGTGTATTACTGTTCTGGTATGGACTAAAGTAATCATCTAGACACCATTATCAAAGGATAAAATAATAGAGATAATAAAAGAAACACGAAAGTCTGAACAAATACTACTGCAGTGAAAACAGTCTTACATACATATATGTTTAAGAAGTCTATTGAACTACACATTAAGTACACAGAAACACATTACTTACCCAAAGCGATGTCAGATTATATTCTTGGAGAAAGTGACTTTCTTCACACTCAGGAGCTCTGAATCTCATTAGTTGTCGGAGAACTGTTTTATAGCTACAGCACCCTGCTGACACATTCTAATTCTGACGTCATTTTCTAAAACGAAAGTAAATAGAAGCGTAGCTCCGCCCCAAGAAGAACTCACCCTCAACTTTCACAAAATGTTAGCTACCTACGTTAACAACTGAAGGATAGTAGAAAGTATTTATCTCCCATTGTGGTATCTACGTTAA